GCCCTGCCCCTCGCCCCGCCCCAGTAACCGGGTGGCGGTGGGTAGCGCGCCCGCGGTGTCGCTTTACCGCCTGCGCAACGCGGGGTAGCCCGCCCGCTCGGTTCGCTCGCGCGCCTGGTGGCCTACCCGATCACTTGCAGGCGTCGTCGTCACGGTGCATCCCCCTCCCCCCTCCCCACCTAGCGGTTGCATCGGGTTTTCCGTGGCCACCGGCTATAGGGCAGTAGTGGTACTCCGATGGCCCTTTGGGGACGCCCCGCGAGGGGGGGGGGGCACCGCCGTAACACGTGCGTACCCGTCTCAATCACACCTACGCCGCCACGCTCACCAATATTGCGGAAAATCAGTGCGAGGACCGCGCGGGCATCCAGTAGTAAACCCTCATTAATGTAATGAACAGTGTAATTTAACAACAATAAACCATTTAATAACTAAAGCGGGTGGCTTTTTATTTGCTTTTTGTGCCTTTATACGGCACTGAAAATATTCTCACTCCTAAAATGTCCTAAATAAGCCGGAAATTGAACGAAAAAATAAAGTCGATAAACTCCAGAAATCCGTTTTTGCGAAAAAGGGTCACTGTCCTCCAGCGGGCCTGCATGGGAAAGGGGGGGGGAAGGAGGGGCAGATACTTTTTTTGTTGTTGTTGTTGCGCGTTGGGCTGACTTTGCTAACGGTTCGGGCCAGAGGTGCCCCCGCCGCCCCCTCACCTCCCCTCTTTTCCACTCCCCATTTTGCATGTCGCTCGCGATAAAGTTTATTGGCGTCCACCATAGGACTCGCGCGGGGCGGCGCCCGCTACAATCGTTCACCTTTTCTGACCCGATAGATAAGAAAAATGGCGAATGGCAAATGGCGGCGGCGAGCGCGCGCGCGCGGCCTCGCGGGCGGCAGCGCGATGGGCAGAAAAAGAAGACGACAAATGGCCGCAACTTTGGCTCTTTGACTGATTGAACGCCGATGCTGCCATGCGGCCGTGCGGGCCGTGCTCTGTATATATTTGTTTTGTTTTTTTGTTTTATTACCTTCAGAATCGCGGAGTACTAAAAAGATGGCACCGCCGTTCGCTTCAAGGCTAGCGCCGTGGCGCGGGTAGCGCGCTATACGGAGGCAAAGGGCTGCTCCACGAGCGCGGCCATCGGGAAAATGAAAGTGCCCAAGAAAATAATTGTTGCGTACACAGTGAACGCGAGACGAAACCTTCTTTTTTCCCGAGGGAGGGTGGCGATCACAACGCATTGTATCCGTGCCACCTGTGGCCGCGTTGGACTCGACGTATTAAATTGTTTTTAATTCTTTGAGATTCTGCTTCCCTTGCAAAATCAAGTAAAAATTTTGCGTGAGGTATATGGCATTCTTATTTTTAGTACGTTGTTGCCGCTATACAGGAAGACGGGAGCGGGTGACGAGGTCGTCGCATGGCGCGGTGCCGGCGTTACCCACCCGACCCGCGACGGGCACAACCTAACCTAACCCCACTGCCCCCGCGCCCTCCCCTTCTTACAATCTCCCTTAAATTTCGCCTTCGCTCACGACGACACGCTTCTCCTCTCAATTTACGACGACGCTGGGGCCTCGGGGGGTGGTGGAGGGCGGTGGAGGGGGGAGCAGAGGGGCGGGCCCGGCAACACGCCCCGCCGCCGTCTCCCTTACACCTCCCCTACCCCCGCCGCGCAGGGCTTCGCGACGTGCACGACACCCCCGCGACCTGGCCCCACACGGGCCGCCCCCGCCGCCCCCGCGCGCACGCACCAGCACACTCCACAGGACACCCACACCGCGCCGCCCACCGGCCACCCCCCGGCCTCCAAACACACATCTCATCGCCGCTTGTGGTGTCGACTCGTCCAGCGCAACACTTGCCGTCACCCACGCTAATGACAGTCAGTCTTTCACTAATGCAGATAGCCTCGGAAAGCACAAAACACAGATATAGATAGATGTGTGTGTGTGTGGTTATTTTGTTGTGAGCTATTAATTGCCAGTCCCGATGATTCCAGTGAATAAAACTGAAAATGCACTGGGAATATGTGTTGTGGTGGTGGGTCTGGCTGGGGGTTGGAGTGGGGGGTCAGGAGGGA